CCATTCCATTCAGAGAGGGCTGGAAGCATCTGAGGAAAGCAATAAGTGCGATCTTTGCTGACGTGTAATGGCAGCTGGCCATTCAGGAATATAGATCATTAATTCTTTGAGCCACCCCAGCCTCCCGTCGCCTTGTAAAAAAAGTGCAAGTCTTCATGCTATGATCTTGAATGAATTTTATGTTCGGAATCAGCGGATGGAACTCAGTCAAAACAGCATAATGGGAACTCGTAAATGATACCAATTTAAAGAGAGCTGTATAATAGCCAGTGAGTATTGATATGGCTAACCCTATTGTATTCTAATTGTTGTAGACTGCAAAACTTTGAATTCGAAAATGGCGACTGCAGAATGTCTTCTTTTCACGACCTCGCAGCATTCTAGGCAGAATTTAAGCGTTGAGATAAACAGGAAGTATCATTATTTTCCAGGAGATTAACTTCCTTTATTTTAAATTGGGGCAGTCGTTGAATGGAAGAGAGATTATTGTCAGACGGAACACCATATTTTGAAAAATAGGATGGTGTCTACATGGGCAAACAACAAGTGCGAGTAAAAATCCCTGGGTACCAGAGCCACAAAATTAAAAAATAATTAGAGCTGCGGAGGCGAAGGAGAGTGAAGAGAGAGGACGAACAAGCGGCACTGGTTCCATCAATTGCAAACCTCCTTCATTATTTGTTAATATATTTTTTACATTTTTGCGGCTCTGGTACCCAGGGTAGAGTAAAAACAAAAGCGAAAACCTATGTTGACTGGGCCTATGTTGACTGGGCCTATGCATGACTGGGCACGCTATGCTGACTGGGCTATTGGCTGACTGGGCCTATGCTGAAAATGGCCTATTGCTAGAACTTGGGCCTATGCTGACTGGCCTATGCTGACTGGCTAAATGCTGACTGGGCTATGCTGACTGGGCCTATGGCTGACACTGGGCCTATGCTGACTGGGCCATATGCTGACTGGGCCTAATGCTGAGCTGGGCCTAATGCTGACTGGGCCTATGCTGACTGGGCCTATGCTGATGGGCTATAGACGACTGGGCCATGCTGACTGGGCCTATGCTGATGGGCCTATGCTGACTGGGCTATGCATGAACTGGGCCATGCTGATGGGCTATAGCTTTTGACTGGGCCTGATAGCTGACTGGCCTGAATGCTGACTGGGCCTAATAGCTGACTGGGCTATGCTGACTGGGCCTATTGCTGACTGGGCCTATGCTGACTGGGCCTATGCTGACTGGGCATATGCATGACTGGGCCTATGCTGAATGGCCATGCTGACTAGGCCATGCTGACTGGGCCAATGCTGACTGGGCATGCTGACTGGGCTATGTTGAAGCTAGGGCTATGTTGACTGGGCCTATATGTTGACTCGGCCCGGGCTGACTCGGCCCTGGGCACTCGCCGTAACTCGGCCCGGGCTGCACTCGGCCCTCCGGCGGTGACTCGGCCCGGGCTGACTCGGCCCGGGCTGACTCCGCATCGGCCCGGGCTGACTCGGCTCGGGTGACTCGGCCGGGACTGGCCACGGGCTGACTCGGCCCGGGCTGACGTTCGGCCCGGGCTGACTCGGCCCGGGCTGACTCGGCCCCGGGCTGACTCGGCCCGGGGCTGACTCGGCCCGGGCGACGTCGGCCCGGGCTGACTCGGCGGCGACTCGGCCCGGTGCTGACTCGGCCCGGGCTGACTCGGCCGGGCTGACTCGGCCGCGGGCGCGGGTGATCGGCCCGGGCTGACTCGAGCCCGGTGACTCACTCGCTGGCCGGCTGTGCCGGGTAGCGTACTCCGGCCGGGCTGACTCGGCCCGGGCTGATACTGGCCCGGGGCCTGACTCGGCCCGGGCGACTCGGCCGGCTGACTCGCCGAGGCTGACTCGCCCCGCTGGAAACTCGCCCGTGGCTGACGGCTGCCCGGGCTGACTCGGCCCGGAGCTGACTCGCGGCTGACGCCGGGCTGATCGGCCCGGGCTGACTCGGCCCGTTGGGGGAACTTCGGGGTGGGCTACTCCGGCTGACGCGGCCCGGCGTGACTCGGCCCGGGGCTGACTCGGCCCGGGCGCTGACTCGGCTGACCGCGGGCTGACCTCGCCGGGCTGACTTCGGCCCGGGCTGACTCGGCGCCGGGCTGAACTCGCCCGGGCTGACTCGGCCGGGCTGACTCGGCCCGGGCTGGACTCGCCACGGGGCTGACTCGGCCGCGGGCTGACTCGGCCGGGCTGACGCGTAACTCGGCCCGGCTTGCTGCCCGGACTGACGCGGGTGACTCGGTTCTGCTCGGCCGGCTGACTCGGCCGGACTGGGCCGTGACTTCGCCCGGGCTGACTCGGCCCGGGCGACTCGGCCGGCTGCTGGCTGACTCGGCCCGGCTACTGCGTACTCGGCCGCGGGCTGACTCGGACCAGCGGGCTGACTCTGCCCGGGCTGACTCGGCGCCGGGCTACTCGGCCTACGGCGGCTGACTCGGCGCTGAACCTCGGACGGGCTTGACTCAGGCCCGGGGCTGACTCGGCCCGGGCTGACTCGGCCCGGGCTGACTCGGCCCGGGCTGACTCGGCCCGGGCTGACTCGGCCCGGGCTGACTCGGCCCGGGCTGACTCGGCCCTGACTCAATGCGAAAGAGGGTTGAGCCCTGTTAACTTTTCTACTGCGCATGCGGAATAAGGTTGCACAGGTTTGCACATTTTTTCGCATAGCTTGTGCTTTCTATTAGACTTTAAGGTTATGATAAACGTTTTCTGGACGAAACCTTTTTTCGATTACTCCACTTCCTAGCACTTTCGATTACTCCACTTTGAAACTAGCAGAAGTTTTGAAAATGCAAAAAATTCCATATAAACGGAAGTTTCCATAACTTCTTTATCAAAACTACTAGCTGAGGTCTGAAAATCTCTTGACCAGTTAAACCCATTATCGTTGCTTTGCGGTTGTGGTCGCATGTCTCATTTATAATATCGCATGGCACATCCATGTATCCAATGTATGACTGTGTTTATTCAAACAGGCTTATTCATCTTAAAGGGCCTCTCCAGCCAAAAAAAATTTTGTTTATGGACTTAAATGTTAGCAACTGGTGCGTGTATTATGGCGAAGTCGTTGTTTTTGCAAAATTCCAATTAGTTTAGAAGTTATAAGGCCTTAAAATTGCACCTTTCCGAGAAAAAAACGACAACAGCCGAATCAGCTTTGTGACATTCTCACGTCACAATGTGCGGCTCTTGTTCGCCATGAATCTCGTATATCTTCCATCGAATCGTGAAAGAGTCATGGTCACGCG